GTTGGGGGGTGTTTGGGGGGTTGGGGAAATGTGTCTGAGAAGAAGAAACTTTGGAAAGAAAATCGAGACTTATCTGAAGAACAAACTATGCATCTTACTTCAGAAACACCCGTTATTTCTTTCATATTTGGTATGTCTACCTCATACTATTCTGAATAAAAATATAAAAAATATTTAATAGGAAATGCTCTCAAGATTGCGTTAAATATTCTTGAAAAACCATTTTCTCAAGTGGTGTGTCTAGAGTCTTTTGTTCTTCTTGGTACAGGCGTGCAATGGGTTTGCACCAGGCTGTAGCACTTTGTATGGACCATTGCCATGCTGCAGAATTAGCAAGTGATGATTGGTTCAAGACCATCGTACTGACAGGAGGAACTGCGTGTTTACCCGGACTGGCAGGTGTTTTCCAATTTCTTACATTGATCTTCATCTATTTTTCTACGGAAAGGATTTATTTGTTTTAGTATATCTTTCTAATCCACATGGGATGAATCGTTTATTGATTGTATTAAACTTGTAATTCTTTTTCTCAACACCAAATTCAGAGAGACTAGAAAAGGAACTGCATGGACTTCTCTCTCCGTCTTTGTCGAGCGGAATAACGGTCCTTCCCCCACCATATGGTGCGGATACGGCATGGTTTGGGGGGAAACTTATCAGTAATGTAAGCTGCATTGCCAAGTAAACATGTTTGGATATTAATGTCATCTTAACCATTGTATTCAGTTAATTCTAAAACATGAAGTTGAGTACTATTTTTTATACATAATAACAAATTGATTCTCTCCATTCTTTAGAGTTACTAGTTTTAAGCGTTTGGTTGGTTTCATCGTTTCATAATGTTAGTTCACTCTTTGATTATTCATACAGTTGAGCACCTTCCCCAGTCCCTGGTGCGTGACGAAAAGGCAGTTTCGCCAAAAATCGAAACTCAACCGCCCATGGTGACTGCCCCCATTCATGTTTTAGCCTAGTATATTATACAGCTTATAAGCAAGCACTTCCAGACAAGTGGATATCGACCACATCTTGTGAAGACTTCCAACTATACATCTTTCCAACATATAATTTCCTACAGTGGGATATATATAGTGTATTCTTTATCGACTGTAATTATCAGGGAAAGAATAATTTTGTTGTGTGCAATATGTGCAAATAAATTATTAATGTCACTGAAACTACTGTTATGCTGAAGGGAATTGCTGGTTTTCTTTTTTTTTTCTTTCTTTTTTCTTTTTTTTTTTTTTTTTTTTTTTTTTTGTTTTTTCAGCA